CTCTGTTGGCTGTTGACCAACACTGCTGCATCCTGGTGCTGCTGGGCTCTGCCCTGGCTATTGTCAGTGCTGAGTCCCACAGAGCCAGTTCTGGCTGCTGGTTGTTGTTGGGATGAAGTGCAGTGAGCAGCATAACCCTCTGCCACCCCCACACTGATTCACAAGGTCCTTTGCCAAGGAGGAGTCCTCTCATCTTCCTTGAGGTGCTTGCATCTTTGCCAAGTGTTTTCTATGCCCTTCTGTAGAGGATCTTGGAAGACTTACCTCAGGTCTTAAGTCCTCGGGTCTTACCCTTGGCTCCTTGTGTTACACAATGTTTATGGACCTGCTGGGAGGGATATGTGGGGTATTGCTTTGCTCTTCTTGCACCTCAGCTTTGGGAAAGGTGAGGAGATGGGCTTCCGCTCTCACCATGGGTATCAAGGGCTTTTTTTTTTTTTGCCATGCCCCACTGTCACTGCTGCCTCTGAGAGGCAGCACTGAAAGCATTTTAGATGCAGAGAGACAGGACATGCTGCATCCTGTGCAGCCATTGCCCTGCTCCTGAGTGCAAAATGACTGGTTCCACCAGCTTCCTGCCAGCTGACTCATAGTGGGGCACCATGGCTCTGGAAACCCAGTTTGATTTGGATGCTCCTCTGACTCAATTGTCCCTGATGACACATCCAAATCCTTAGCAACAGCAGGTCTAAGGCATTGAATACTTTCATTCTTACCAAAAGAACTGCAGGTTCTGGGGTGCCTCATCTGAAGGGAGTGAGGTTGTAGAGCCCACCTTCACCTAGCTTCTCCTGGGGGGCCTGAGGCTACCCTTGAAGCTGTGAGCTAAGAGACCCTCCCACCTCAGCCTTTCCGTTGACTTAAAAAGTGCAGCTAACGTTTCCTCCTCCTCTAGAGCTAATTTAGGGAAGCTGAGCCTCAGAGCATGGCAACCATTCATGTTTGTAGATCCCCTCACTTGCTGAGTACCCATCTTCAGTGCCCTCAGCTCCCAGTGTCCTGGTGGTGCTCTGCCATCTCAGCCTCCAGCTCTATTGTTGGAATTGCAACAGGGGCTGTGCCAGATGCTGCTGGGCGTCAGCCCTTAAGCCATATGGATGTTTGGGCAATGCAGAAGATGCTCACTGGATGCTATCCAGGGCTGTGGGTGGGACCAGTCCAGGGGATGGGCAGCCTGATATCCTGGGCTGCTGTAGGTGGGTCTCCATCTCCTTGGGTCCGGAGGCAGTCAGTTCAGTGGTGAGAGGTAGAACACTACATTTGGGAGAAAGCAGAAAACTGAAATGGACACAGGGCACCCAGGCACAAGGGCGGTGTGGCTTGCCCAAGATGATGAGGGCCAGAGCTGCCCTGCCAGGGCTGTGCACTTCCTGCAGTGATTGCATTTCTGGTCTCTGCTGGGATCTGACCCTGCCTCCCCCTCCCCAGCGCGAGTGCATCTCCGTCCACGTCGGCCAGGCCGGCGTCCAGATGGGCAACACCTGCTGGGAGCTGT